CTAATAATCTCAGTCTTTAATCACATCAAAAGTCATTCTACCTGTATTTCCTCCGAATGTGCTTCTCCTTATCATCCCATTTCCTTTGTTCTATCCCTATTTAAATACTGTTAAATTTTCAATATATTTTCATGGTTCTGACACCAAGCCTTTAGATATTCTTTTTCCTTCACAAATCGATTTAGCCATTTTCCAATTTCTTCTGATTTCCAGTATTTACACATTTTAATATTGTTATTTAACTAGGTGCTTAAAGCCAGGTTCAGCGTACCTTAAGGTGTCTATGGCCATGATAAAGTTGAATCAAAAGTGGTATTGGTGCAATTGTCAGTGATGACCTTGATTCAGGAGATCAGGGTGTAGAATTGATTTAGTTGGGGACAAAGTCATTGTGAGAATGATATACAGATCCCCAAACAGTAACCATGATGTAGGAAGAAGCAGACAAGAAGAAATATTGGGTACTTGTGGATGCTTCGCTCGCCGAGCTGTTTCGTTAGTTTGCAGACGTTTCATTACCCTGCTGGGTAACATCATCAGTGCAGCCTCCAGTGAAGCGCTGTTGTGTTTTCCTGCCTGGTATTTAAACTCTGGGGTCCATTGAATTTGAATACCTCATTTCCATTCTTCCTTCGCAGTGGTGTGTATATAGGGTCTAGTTCTGTGCGTTTGTTGATGGTCTTCTTGGTGGACAACCACGCCTCTAGGAATTCCTGTGCTTGTCTCTGTTTGGCCTGACCTAGGATCCTGGTGTTGTCCAATCGAACTGGTGGTTTTCCTTATTCGTGTGAATGGAGATGATTGAGTGTTGGTCGTGTCTTTTTGTTGCTAGTTGGTGTTCATGTACTCTTGTGGCCAGTTTTCTACCTGTCTGTCCAATCTAATGTTTGTCGCAGTCCTTGCATGGAATTTTGTATATCACATTGGTTCTGTCCATAATGGGTAAGGGGTCTTTGGTTCAAGTTAGCAGTTGGCGTAGGGTTGACGTGGGTTTTTGTGCTACTCTGATGCCCAATGGTCGTTGGAGTCTTGTGGTCAGTTTGGATATGTTCCCGATGTATGGTCGCGTGATGAGTGTGTTAGGGCGTGCAGCATCTTCCTGTTGTTGTTCATGTGATAGGCATCGTCGGATCCAGTTGTTCAGGTATCCGCTGTCCTTAAATACTTGGTGGAGGTACTCTTCTTTTTGGTGTAGTTCCGGGTACTACAGAGTGTTGTCACTTGTTTAAATAGTGTTTTCACGCAACTTCATTTGTGGGTGTTGGGGTGGTTGCGTTGAAATTCAGTACTTGGTCAGTGTGTGTGTCTTTGGGTACTTGCGATAAAGTTAAAAGATTGGTGATATTTGCCTTGATGACGAGTTCATAGAATACTTTCGAGATAAGTCTCTTAAAGCAGTGCATTCTGGAACTAACCAGAGAGCAGCCTACACTAAACTTGGTATTTGTGTCATGTGATGAGATTAATTAATGACCTCAGAGAAAAGGAATCTCTCGGCACCGGCAATCATAGTATGATTGGATTTTACATCCAGTTTGAAAGGAAAAATCATGGGCCTAAGACTATCATTTTAAACTTAAATATGGGCAACTATGTGGGCATGAAAGTTGAGCCAGCTGAAGTGAATTGGAATATTAGATTAGGAGATAGATCAGTAGCAAAACATTGACAGACCATTTAAAGGGATATTTCAGAATGTTCAGAGTAAGTATATTCCAACTGTAAAGAAAAATTCCAAGTTGAAGACCCAAAATCTGTGGTGAACTAAAGAGGAAAGGAATGCATTAAACTTAATAAAGAAAAGAGTATAATTGTGCAAAGATGAGTGGCAGGTTTCAGATGACTGGTAAGAATACAAACAGCAGAAAACGATTATAAGGTTAATTAGGACAAATAAATTGCAGTATGAGAGAACCTAGCTTAAAAAATGTACAAACAGATAATAAGAGTTTCTCCAGGTATCCAAAAAGAAAAAGAGTAAAAAAGAAAAAGAGTAAATAAAGTAAGTGTTAGTCCACTAGACGGTGAGAATGGTAAATTTATGGTGAATAATAAAGAAATGGTGCAAGTAATGAATTAATATATAGCTTCTGTCTTCACTATAGAGGATAGAAGAAATATTCCAGTAATACCAGCAATTCAGGGATTGAGGCAAGAGAGGAACTTGGTGAAATTATAATCACAATGGAGGTGCAACTGCATAAAGTGATGGAGCTGCGGGTTGATAAGTCTCCGAGTCCTGGTGAACTTCATCCTACAGTCTTAAAAGAGGTGGATTATGAGATAGTAGATACATTACTGTTAATTTCCAAAACTGAACTCGTGTTTTGGAAATGTTTCTATCAGGGTCAAACATAGTAAATAATAACCCCTTTGTTCAAGAAGGGAGGGGGACAAAAAATAACAGGAAACTATAGGCCAGTTAGCTTGACATTTGTCATGGGGAAGGTGCTAGAATCAATTATTAATGAAATTATAACTTGGAAAACCCCAAGGTAATCAGGAAATATCAGCATGATTTATGAAAGTGAATGTGTTGAATGCTTTTAACATATGCTGTGGATAAAGTGAAACCCTTGGATTTCTAGAAGGCTTTGAAAACGGTCTTATAAAAAAGATTATTGTGCAAAGTAGGAGTTTGTGGTTTGGGGTTACATATGAGCTTGGACAAAAGATTGGCTCGAAAGCAGAAATCAAATTGTATGTATAATTGGGTCTTTTTCAGGATTGGCATGGCCCTGAATGGGTCTGCGTCAGGCTGTCAACTTTTTACATTTGATGTCAATTACTTAGATGAGTGAAGTGAATGCGTGGTATCTAAATTTGCTGATGACACAAAGCTAGATAGGAAAGCATATTGTGACGGTGATGTAACAAGAATGCAGATAGATATATGTAGGTTGAGTGTGCAAAAATCTGAAGTATGATGTGTAGTTGTTCACTTTGGTGGGAGGAATATAAGAGTGGAGTACTATTTAAACAGTGGATGACTGCATATTTCTAATGCACAGAGGATTTAGGCTACCTAGTTCATGAGTCACAATTCAAAGCTTTAGTATGCATGTACAGCAAGTGATTAGTAAGACTAATGGAATGCAGTTCTTGATGATAAGAAATTGAATGTAAAAGTAAGAAGGTATCCTTTAATTTTACAGTGCATTATTGAGAAGACATTTCAAATACTGTGTGCTGTTTACTCTCCTGAAAAATAACTGCCAATTTGCTAACTGCTGACTCTCACAAACAGAAACCTGGACACAGGTGAAAATTTTCTTGTGTTGTTTCAGAATAATAACATGGATTCTTATTACATGTATGTAAGAAGGCAGATGGAACCACAGTCAAAAATGACACTTCTGATCTAGCAGTACTGTCTCAGTACTGCACTGGAGTCTTAGCTTAGATTTTGTATTCAAAATTCTGGAGTTGGCTTCAAACCTACACACTTCTGACTTGGACAGAGATAAGAGTCCTCCTTTGAGCAACAGCTTACACTGAAGGCTTTGGCTGAAATATTCTGAGGGAACAGCAATCACCATCAGATTGTCACTTCCCTGCTCTTTTTATCACTGCAGCTGAGCTCCACATTTCTGGCTAGGACACCGGCCACTTTAGAAATGTGGGACCCATCTTAAATCAATATTTAAAAATTAAATAAAGTAAACCAATATTTTTAGATTAATGCTGTCTTAGTAGAATATTGATCGAGTCCTGAGAAAGTAAAATTTATATGCTTGTAAAAACACTGTGAAATGGGATTTGATAGCTCCAACTGAAGAACAAAATTGATGGCCCATGATCTCAAAATATTTTGGATATTATAGTAGCAAACTTTATCATGTCTACTTATTTTTAATCACTTGTACTATTTGCTGCTATCTGAAGAGACTAGGTACAGATTAATAGAAAATATTTTCTGAGTTATTTTTGCAGAATTACTTGATTTAAAGGTTCTGAACTCTCTTCAGATGTTTTCCTGGAAGTTTCAACAAACAGCTTACACCTCTGTCAAATAGTGTCTTTCTTTCTCTATCTCTAACATTTTTTATAACTGTTAAATTCAAAGGATTTGTTTTTGAATACCTGTATGATATTTCACCAAGGTTGTTTGAAACTGTTTAACCTTTAAATCTTTGAGTATCATGGACAGTTCTGGAGTATTGTCAACCTTAACTTCGAGTGTGGTGTTTCCTCAGAAGAGACACAGAGTATATATGACAGAATACAAGAAAACAAAAACACAAAACATGAGTAATCCAGTGATTTTCATGCATATTTCTAGGTAATTGAGCAATTTGCCATATCATTTGCGAATTGTCAGTTGAGTAACTGTGATCGACAACACAAAGCAAGCTCTGAGCAAATCCAAGAAAATGAGTTTTCTAATTTGCTTTTTTTGAAAATTTATTCTAAATTCATAGACGTTAGGATTTGGTATTATCTTTTCCTCATGATAAATATTTTTCTTCGACAAAATTGTGCTTTACCACACCTTAACGTTCTAAGAGATTTTGCAGTAATATGGCATTTTAAAAGAACTATCTTTTATACATGATTCTGCTGCCATCTTATTTACATAGACACAAGCTACATTAAATCATAATTAATTTGAAGATGAAAACTGCAAAAATCCTGAATAAGTCTGGGAAGGGTAGAGATAAAAGAAAATCTTACTGTGTACATTAGTAATTATATATCAATTGTGGATAACTATTTACAGTTGAAAGAAATTGATTGGGTTGTTAATTAGGCATGTATAAAAAGACAGTTACGACTGACACTGGGTTGAGAGTTCATTTAGGAGGAATATACTTGCAATATTTCACCTTGTGAATAATCTACACCGAGTAAAGATTAGCTCTGATCTGATATTTCACCAGCTGGCTATCACGAATTTAACATAAATGCATATTTATTTTTACTCATTGTGAGAATGCAAAATAAACCCAGTCTACTCCAGTTGGATAATCTACATTTTGTTTTCCATTCACTTTTCCTAGCTTTGACAGAAGATCATGTTGGATCACTGCAGGAAAATGAGTTTGAAAACGTCATTCATGTACGAAAACGAAGAGAATCTGGGGATCCATACTGGGCTTATTCAGGTAAGAGCAACTTTGACAGAATGATAGGCAAAGGACTATTATTGTGATGGATATTATGAAAAAGTCCTCCCTGTAGAAAATTGCTTGTTTCTATAGCTTTTGAATCTTCACCTTGGAGATTAATTTGGCTCCAGTCTGAACATTTCCAGCAGTGAACATGACTTGTATTTTGTACCTGATGGCACACTGTGAAATGTAAAATTATTAATTTCCTGTTGTTCAGGCTTTGGGCGTGTAACAGAAGTGTTTTTTGTCGCTTTAATAGTACTTCTTACACAGTTTATTCTAAGGCCAGTGAAAAAGGTGCCCTTGCCCTGATATAAATGACTGTGTTGTGTGCAATCACAAACTGGAAACAACCAGTTGCTCAATTGTCCTAGTAGCTTTTCTCCTGCTTCCAGAAATGTGTCTGATCAAAAAATGAAACAACTTGGTATTTTTGTAGTTTATAAGGATGTTCGTTTTAAAACATTGGTTTTGGAACTGTTATTTCAGTAAACAATGTTGTGAGAAATACAAGGTCCAGACTAAGTAGATGGCACATTTTAATATTGTGTGAGTCAATGCTTGAGAATAGCAGTATAACTTTTCTCTTTCTTCCTTAAGAGAATGTTAAAATAGTTTAATCTTACATATTTATGCTCAGTAGAAGAGACTATATGATAAAATGATGATCTGACTACATTTGATGAATAGTTGATGTATCGATATCTGTAATCACAAAAGTGAAAGTGAAAATGAGGTTTTGCCCCTCCACAATGACAGGCATGTTCACACTTTATTATTCAAGCTTTCTAAAGTTGTGACAGGTTTCTTCCACATCGTGATTCCCTCTCATTCTCCTACCTTGATTGCAGTGCCCATCTCACATTGGGGCTGCAGACTGCATAGAGACTCAGGTATTCCAATTGGTTTTTCTGGTTGTGGAGCTCATCTTTTATTGGACAGGCTGCCGAAGCCACCTGCTCCAAGATTTCCGTCTGGGTCACACTTACTGGCATTTGAGTTCCTGATCTACATTTCAATTCAAAAGTGGAATTGGGACCCAGAAGTAAAAATCTAACCAGTTGTTTTTCTTACAGGAGTCACAGAAATTAATTTTAGCTTTTTACCTTGTAGATTTACTGATGACTGTTTATCGAAACGTCTTTTCATTTTTACCAGCTTAATTGTAAAGAAAAGATCCTAAATTGTATGGTAATTTGGTTTTAATTAGATTTAATTTAATATGTAGAGGGAGGCAAAGGTCCAGTGGTATTATAGCTAGACTATTAACCCAGATACCCAAGTAATGCGCTGGAGACCTATGTTTGAATCCCACCAAGCAGATGGTGGAATTTGAATTCAATCGTAAAAAAAACTAGAATTAAGAGTCATTTAATGACCATAACACCATGCTAATCATTGGAAAAAACCCATCTGGTTCTCTAATATCCATTAGGGAAGAAAATCTGCCACCCTTACCTTATATCCTTGCGATGAGGGATGGGCAACAAATGGTAGCCTAACCAGCAACACCCTCATTCTGTGAATGAATTAAAAAAAATTACAGTCTCTACTATAGAACAGAGAACAGTACAGCACAGGAACAGGCCCTTTGGCCCACTATGTCAGTGCCGACCATTATTCCATTCTAAACTAATCCCATGTCCCTGCACATGATCTGTACCTCTCTATTCCTTGCCTGTTTATGCATCTAAGTGTCGCTTAAACATTGTTATCGTCTCTGCTTCTAGCACCTCCCCTGGCAGCGTATTCTAGGCACCTAGCATCCTCTGTGTAAAAGAAAAACTTTCCTCAGACATCTCCTTTAGATTTTTACCCTCTTACCTTAAACCTATGCCTCCTAGTATTCAACATTTCCAGTCTGGGAAAAAGACTCCAACTATCCACCCTATCCATGCCTCTCATAATTTTATATATTTCTATCAGGTCGTCCGTCAGCCTCCAACGCTCAAGCAAAAGCAATCCAAGTTTTTCCAACTTGTCCTTATAGCTAATACACTCAAATCCAGGCAACATCCTAAAAAAGTCTTTTTTGAACCCTCTCCATATCTTTCCTGTAGTGTGGTGACCAGAACTGCACACAATACACGAAATGTGGCCTAACAGCTGCAACATGACTTGCCAACTTTTATACTCCATGCCCTGACTTATAAAAGCAAGCTTTCTTTCCAACCCTAGTCACTTGTGTTATCAGTTTCACGGAGCTATGGACTTGGACCCCAAAATGCCTCTGTATATCAATGCTCGCATGGGTTCTGCCATTTACTGTATACTTTGTTGTTGCATTTGACCTCCCAAAATAAATCACCTCACACTTGTCCAGATTAAATTCCATCTGCCATGTCTCCACCTGACTTTGCAACTGGTCTATACCCTGCTGTATCATTTGATAACCTTCCCAACTATCCACAACTCATCTGCAAACATACTAATGAGACCACCTACATTTTCCTCCAAATCATTTATATATATTACAAACAACAGAAGTCCCAACACTGATCCTGTGGAATGCTGCTGGTCACAGTCCACCAGTTAGAAAAACATCTCTCCATAACCACCCTCTGTCTTCTACAAGCAAGCCAATTTTGGTATCCAACTTGCCAACAATGTGATTTAATCTTCTGGACCAACGTACTATGAAGGACCTTGTCAAATGCTTTAGTAAAATCCATGTATACAACATACTACTATCTCATCAATCACCTTTGTCACTTCCTCAAACAACTCAGTCAAGTTTGTGAGACAAGGCTCCCGGGCATAAAGCCATGCTGACAATCCCTAATAAGTCCATTCTTCCTCAAATGCGAGTAAATCTAGTCCCTCAGAATCTTGTCCAATAATTTCCCTACCACTAATGTAAGGCTCATCGGTCTATAAATTCCTGGATTATTCCTGTTCTCCTTAAATAAAGGAACAACATATTCTCCAACCTTCTGGGACTTTATCTGTGGCTAAAGAGAATACAAAGATCTCTGTGAAGGCCCCAACATCCTCCTCCCTTGCTTTCTTCTGCACCCTGGAATAGATCCCTTCATCCACTGAAGGATTCCTTCCATTGTATTTTTCCTGTGAAAGGGAAGGCTGGCACCAAATGTTGGTCATCACAGTGGACAGGGATTGGCAGTGCCTACTGTTCAAGTATCCTATGTCCATCAGCAACCGCACTTCCAAGGTATTCTTCACCCCCATGTTACCTCTCCCTCACCAACATCATGTCAATCCTCGCACTACCCTCTACTTTCTGGGCCCTAGAAATAATCCAGGCTGCAAGGCTCCTTCTCTTTGAGTCTGCCTGCAGCCCCAGCAGTTGTTACTGCTCCCTGTAGGGCACCTGAGACAACACAGTTGCCATTTGATTGGCTGGCAGCTTTCTGAGGCAGTACTTTCTGTCTATTAGGGACAGAGGCCCACTTCAAGCCAATTACCAGCTCATATCACAGGGCTAGGTTAATGTTAAAAGAAGTAACAACATTTATTACACTTTTATACACATTAATTAGTTTTGATTTGTGTCTAAATAACACGTTAGAGGCTTGTTGCAAGCTGCAGATTACTTATTCAGTTTAGTTTTACTCCCACATATAAAGTCATAGATGTCTACAACACAGAAAAAGATCTATGGCCCACCAAGTCTGTGCCAGTCCAAAGCAACCACATAATTATTCTAATCCCATTTTCCAGCATCTCGACGATAGCCTTGGATGCAATGATGGTGGGAAGGGTTGTTTTTGTAAATAGAAACTTGTGACAAGTGGTGTACCATTGAGATCAGAACAGAACACAACCCCTACAGTGTGGAAACAGGCCATTTGGCCCAACATGTCTACACCGACCCTCCAAAGAGCATCCCACCCAGACCCATCCCCCGACCCTATCCTGCAACCCTGCAATTCCCATGGCTAACACACCTTAACTTACACATCCCTGAACACTATGGATAATTGAGCGTGGTTAATCCACCTAACTTGCATATCTTTGGACTGTGGGAGGAAACAGGAGCACCTGGAGGAAACCCACAAATACAGGGAGAATGTGCTGTTGGGTATGTTGCTATTTGTTATGTACATTAACAACTTGAATGTGGATGAAGAAGGTTCGATTAGTAAGTTTGTAAGAGGCACTAAAATTGGGGATCTTGTTGATAGTGAAGAGGATGGCCTCAAGCTACAGTCTGTCTTGAATAGCTGGTAGATTGGGCACAGCAATGGCAGATGGAATTTAAATCTGATGAAAGTATGAGGTAGTACATTTTGGGAGGTCTTAAAAGGGAAGGATATATTCAATGAATGGTGGGTCCCTAGGGAGTACTGAGCAACAAAGGGACCTTGGTTTACAAGTCCATAGATTCCCAAAGATGTCAGCATAGGTCGATAGGGTGTGAAGAAGGCGTATGGGATGCTTGACTTCATGAGCCAGGGCATCGAATATAGGAGCAAGGTAGTCTTAATTTAACTTTATAAAACATGGTATAGGCCACAAATGAAATACTGTGTGCAGTTCTGATTGCCTCACGGTGGAAGGACCAGATTGCATTGGAGAAGCTGCAGACGATAACTAGGAAAAGAGTAAGGCCCATTCAGGACCACAGTAGTAACTTGTGTGTGTAAATAGGTTCTAAATAAATACTTTGCATTGCTGTTCTGTAGTTAGAGGGACAATGTGGGCATAGAAATCAGGAAGAAGGACTATGATGTAATTAAACAAGCGAGCAAAGACAGAGAGGTGGTTCTGACAGGCTTAAAAGTACATCCAAATCTCCAGGGCTCACTGAACTGTATCCCAAGCTGTTGAGTGAGGCAAGGGAGGAAACAGCACGATTTCTGGCAATTTTTAATTCCTCTCTGGCCAAAACAGGTGCTGTAGGATTAGAAAACAGTCAATGAGGTACCATTATTGAAAAAGGTAGCAAGGGATAAATCAGGAAACCACAGACCAGTCAGTCTTACTTCAGTAATGGGGAAACTATTGGAATCCATTTTGAGGGACAGGATTAA